GAAACTTTACAGAGCAAATTAGTTCTCCAGGTAACCTTTGAGACCCATTTGGCTTTGTAACACTGGCTGCAATACCTCAATATAATAGCACTCTTCCCCTCCCCCTGGGTTCCCCACAAGTCCTCCTCCCCGCCCGCCCCTCCTGTCCTGGAGCTGTGTTTTGGGGCACATGCTGCTCCTTCCATCTGGGTTAGGATGCTCGGATGCTTGTTCTGAGGAGAAGGATTCCTGGTGGTGGCTGAAATTTGAACCCCGGGCAGGTTCAGTTGGAGGCTAGCTGAGTCTCGAAAGGCCACCGTCTTGGGAGTTCTCCCCCCTCTTTCAGACCACTCACTCACTCACTCACTCACTCACTCACTCACTCACTCACTCACTGCCATGGAGTCAATGCTGAGTCATAGAGACCCCTGTGGGTTTCTGGGACCATTTATGGGAGTAGAAAGCCCATTCTTTCTCCCTGGGACCAGCTGGTGGTTTCAAACTGCTGACTGTGGGGATTGCCGTGGCCCGACACACAACCACGACACCACCCGTGTTCCTCTGCTTTCAGACCGTAAGTGAAAATATGGCTTTAATAGCTGTGTGGTGTTGAGTCGTCGGAACTAGCCCTCGGTACATAACCACCCTTATAAATAAAGCAGCCATGGCTGTACCTCTAGGGGTGTCTCTGAGGGTTTCCGTCGACTGATTCCTGGAGGTGGAAACTGGCAAGGCCAACAATTGAGCGCCATGGCTGTGTGTCTTCAACGAGGACGTGGCTCAGGTCCTGTGTGTCCCACGAGGTTGGAGAAGTGATAGTTTTCATCAGGAATGGTGCTGCAGCTTATGAAAGGCAGCACCTGGGTGGGGAGGGGGCAGCCTGTGAGGTCTTCCAGGGAGAGTCAGAGAAGGAGGCAGGATGGGGACTTGGAGGTGACCTAGGACCTGTCACGGAGTCTGTATTGGGACGGGAAAGAACAGAGGTCAGTTGCCAGGTCTATTGGCCTAGTGAACAAGCCGAGGTAGGGGCTGGGGGCAGGGGGAGGCATCTGTTACCACGTCGTGAAGAGGATGGTGCCTGGAGTGCTGCAGGGAACCCAAGAGGAGTCAGGAGCCCCAACCCTGACTTGGCACCCTCTCCCCTCTGTGGGTCCGGCTTTGCCTAGCAGGCTTTGCCTCCAGGGCAGAAGGCCCAGCGAAGTCCTTGCTTGGTTTCCTTTCTTGGTGCTCCCATGCCTGGGGCCTGTTGAGCACAAAGACCTCCTGTTCCAAGAGCTGTGCTTGGCGCAAGGCTGAGAGCTGCTGGCCCCTCGCCTGCACCGGCAGTGCCAGGGCTTTCTGGGTGAAAGAGGGCCTGGGGGCTGTAAAGCTGGTGCTGTCATAGTTGAACCCTGCCTGTGGGAAGTGCCCCCCTGGGTGGGTGGGAGGCTGAGCTGGACCCACGAGAGGACCCTGTGAGGGGCAGGCAGGACCCTCACCGAGCAGACCCTAGGGAAGGCTGGGAGAAGGCTAGAGGGGAAGCTTCATCTCCAGCCCGCATATGCTCAGTGTGCCTGGAAGCTTCTAGAGAGCTTGGATCTCAGGATGCTGAGAAAAGAGGGGGGAGAGAAACTGAGCACTTTGAAGAGAAGGTCAGGTCATCATGGTCTCTGTCCAAGTAGACTTCAGACAGCTGCCCCAGCTCCCCAAGCAGTGAGGGCTTGGTGGTGTCTGGGGGTTCTGGATCCACACCTCAGGATGAGCTGCTGGGTGGGGTTCCCTGTGTCCAGGACAGTGTGCAGCCACTAATCTGTTCTCCTCTCGACCCTCCTGCAGACTTCCTTCTATGGCCGCTTCAGGCACTTCTTGGATATCATTGACCCTCGTACCCTCTTTGTCACCGAGGTAAGTCATGGGGGTCAGTCTCAGTGGGGGCGCCGTGGCCCTTGTATCTTGTCACTTTGAGAAGTTCTATAGGTCATCCAAAAGAACAGGGATGTGGGGGTGAAAACGAGAAGGGTGTTGAAGGCAGATGAGAGGAAAATTATCTATACGTATTCATATGCATATACATACGCATACATATATATACATGTACACACATGTAACTGAGTTCATACACTGTGATGCATCCTGTATATATGTTTTATCATTTCATTTGGATCTCACAATGCTCTTTCAAAATTAGGTATAATCATTATTGTTATATAAAATTTTACCGAAACTTGTACCAAGTCCATGGATTATATACTCATTATAAAAGTTGATATGATGCAAGTATGTTTAAATGGAACAAAATATAATCCTTTATATATCTTCTCTGCCCAGCTTCCTGTCTCATAGGCTCCGAATATCATTTAATGGCTTTAAATGGCAGCTTTATTAAGGTACAACTTACCTTTTTTAGGTTGTAGTTCTATAAGTTTTGACAACTGTATTCATTTATATATCCACCGCTATCACCCTGAAAAGCTCCCTCTGCTTCTTATTATGTAGCCAATTTCCTCCCTGCCTCCACTTCTGGGAACCACTGAGGTGCTTTCTGTCAATATTTTTGCTGCTCTGAAATGTCATATAAATGGAATCTTACAATCTGTAGCCTTTCATGCCTGGCTTCTTTCCTTTAACATAAAGCTTTGGAGATGCGTCTGTGTTTTGCGTGTATTAGTAATTCGTTCATTTTTGTCACTGTACCCCATTGAATAGAAAATCCACTGGATTTGCTTATCCATTCACCTCTTGATGGGAACACCCTATTTCCAATTGTGGGCAATTATGAATAAAGCTGCTATGAACGTTCTTTGCGTGGATGTATGTTTTTATTTTTCTTGCATAATTAACTGGGGATGGGATTGCTGGCTCACAGTTAAGTGTGTGTTGATAGGAAACTCTAAACACTTGTCCAGAGAGCCCGGGTCATGTTACATCCCCGTGAGCCACGTGTGAGCGCTGCTGTGGCCCCACATCCTCACCAATACGTGAGTGTCTGATTATTTAGTTGTTCTTCTAGTCATTCTAAGAAGTGGGTCTGATAGGAGTTTTATATGTATTTACAGATGTGTATGGCAACGTGTGCAAACATAACTGAGCAAATATTTATGAAGTACGTGCTGTGAGCCTGGCAGTATTGTAAGCTTTTCTCAACATTAGCTGATCAGATTCAGTCTAAGCAGCCCTACGAGGTAGATGTTATTGTAAGTTCCATTTTGCAGATGAGGAAACAGGCAGCCAGAAGTTAAGTTTCTTGCACGTGGTCCCACTGCTGGCAAGGGTTGGAGCCAGGGTATGAACTCAGGTAAGCTTGACTCCAGAACCTTTACTCTGAGCCAGTTGTCTTTGGGTTCAGGTCACTTGAGTTGCGGGAATGGACTCGAGATCACTTATCTAGCATAAGGCCGGACTCGGGCCCTGGGTCCCTGCACACCCTGGAGCAAGTCCTTGAGCCGTGGAGTCTGCTTTCCAAGTGGCCAGGACCTCACTACATGCCTTCTCGGTGTGGAGCCTTGACTTGCGTCAGACCCACAGTTGATCAGCTCCCCACGGGAAAAGCCAGGATGGGAGGAAGCACAAGGCTTACTGGGCTTTCGGGCCCAGGGCTGTCCTAAAGGGATGTAGTCCGGTAATGTGAAATGCAGACACTGCCCTGTTCTTGTTTTTTTATGTGCTAATATTACTAATAGTAATATTAGTACTTGCGTTAGTCTGGGTTGACTAGAGAAACAAATTCATAGACACTCATAGGTGTATGAGACAAGAGCTTTATATAAAGAGTAATTGTATATTAAGTAAACAGCCCAGCCCAGTCCAGATCAAGTCCATAAGTCCGATATTAGCCCATATGTCCAATACCAGTCTATAAAGTCCTCTTCAGACTCATGAAACACATGCAATGGTGCCAAATGCAGGAAGATCACAGGCCAGTGGGTGGAAAGTCTTGGGATCAGTGGTGGTGGAAGCATCTCAGCACTGGCGTGGGTCTCCCCGTGGTTCCTCCAGCTCCAGGACTCTGGCTCCATCAGCGTAGGTCCATGTGGCTTGTCAACAGGAATGTGTAGCAGAGAGTGTCTGGCCTCCAGTGACCTATTTATCTCTACTGTGCCTCCAAATGAGGTCATCAAGCTGCCACCTGATTGACAGGCTAGACTCCACCGCTTCCTCAAGTTGACAGTAGATTATGTAGCTGCCACAGTATTGTATTTGAACCCTGCCTGTGGGAATTACCCCAGGGGCTGAGGGGAGTGGGGGCCTAAGAGGACCCCGTGAGGGACAGGCAGAACCTCCTTCACCCAGAAGACCCTAAGGAGGGCTGGAGAGGGCTAGAGAGGAAGCCTCATTTCTAGCCTGCAGGTGTTTTAATGTCTGGTCGTATCTGCCCCTCTAGGTCCACCACCTCCTAAGCTCAAAACCACTGGGCTTCTAGGTTCTGTCTGGAGTTCCTAAAAGAGTTATTACTATGTGATTATGTAAAAATTTTAGAAGAGCACCAAACTAGAGACAGCAATCTAGCCTAGGTAATGTATCTTAATAGAAAGTTCCAGAAATGTGCAAAACTAGATACGATTGTAGTACAAATGCTACCTGCTTGATTGAGAAGTGGGCAGAGACTGGTGCTTAACTCAGCCTGCAGGTGCTGATGGTAGGTAGCCTCTGAGACAGGCTGAGAGATTGATGGGGGAGGCTTGGGAGGTAGAGGCATTTCAGTGCTCCTCCGAATTGCAGCCAGTGGCTTCGGGGAGGGATGAGCAGCCACCTCCCTCTCCCTCCTTCCAATCTCTGCCATTTCCACATTACCACTCTTTTCCTTAGACCACATCTTTCTTTCTTTTTCAACACGGGCCTTTTGGAAGATCCTAAAGTTCTTGTGCATCAATCATGAAACCATTTTGAGTTGGTGTGCTGTATTAGTACATACAAAACACGTAGACTTTTCTTTACTCTTCCCTGGCATGTCAAAGCCAGTACAGTTCTTTCTAGAACATAACCAAGACAACAGCAATTTTAGAAGATTCTTCTACTTTCACATGCCCCCTCCTCTCAGAAGAAGCTTTGATTGGCGTCCCCAGAAGATTCTCACCTCTACCCTCCATTGCTCTTGGGATGATTTCCAGCACCACTTGCCACCCTTTCAGAAATGTTCTAGCTCCAGAAGGTCTCTTAGTCCCTAAAAACCCTGGAAGGGCTGGGAGGGGTGTCTCCAAACCAAGCAGGCTGTGGGCTTTACCTCTGCTGGCTCTAGCCCAGGCAGGGTACTCAGCAAAGCACCTTCTTCAAAGCAATGGGAGATCTGGGTTGCTGAGTGTGGCAGTCATCTACTGTGAACTCGAGGAAGGGGTGGAGTCTAGCCTGTCAATCAGGTCACAGCTTCATGATCTCATTTGGAGGTGCTAACGGAGATAAATAGCTCACTGGAGGCCAGACACTCTCTTTCTGCTTCATATTCCTGTTGACAAGCCACATGAAGCTACACTGATGGAGCCAGAGCCCTGGATCTAGAGAAGCCACATGGAAACCCCTGCCAGCGCTGAGATGCTTCCACCGCCACTGGATCCACAAGACTTCCCACCCACTGGCCTGTGATCTTTCTGCATTCGGCGTCATTGCATGTATTGTGTGAGTCTGAAGAGGAATTTATAGACTGGTATCAGACATACGGACTTGATCTGGACTGGGATGGGATGTTTTAATATACAATTACTCTTTGATATAAAGTTTTCTCTATTACACACAAAGGAGTCTCCCTGGATTTGTTTCTCTAGTCTACCCGGACTAGCACACTGAGAGGAATGTTTCATACCGGAGCCCCTGCCCTGTGAGCCGGAGTGACAGTAGGAGGACCAGACTTTCCTGTCTGCTGGGCTCAGGCCACAGACCATGGCCGATGTCTACAAGCCACTGTTTCTCTCCCAGAACCCTTGGCTGGGGTGAGTGGCTGTCCAGCCAGAGATGTGGGATGTTTGCTCCTGAGGAGAGCTGGATCAGGCAGGGTAGGCCTGCGGGATTGGCTCTGGAAGGTGGAGTTTTCTGAGCTGGAAAGATCCTAGATGGCTGAGCCGTGCGGTGATCGAGGTCTGAAGGGCAGTAGCCGACTCAATAGACAGACTCATCTTGAGGAAGTTTTGCAGCGATTTGTTTGCCATTTATAACCGACCAAGCTTCAGAAAGATTCCAACCCTTATATGTTTAATGAGGTGGAGAAAATTTTATTCACCGTAATGCCTCTTGGGAAGAATGCTGTCTTTGTTCTACAGATGCCTTGAACAAGCTTTGAGAGGAGGGCGGAGATTGCTGTGCTTGGCGGAGGGGCAAGAATTGTGCTTTTTTTGATTCTGAAAGGAGAGAAGGGGGAAGAGGGGGGACAGGGGTGCAAGAAACCAAGAGGAGCAGTCAGGTTAGTGAAAGAAGCAGCCCATGGGGACTGGGCTGGGGGGGTGCGGCGGCCCCTTGGTCATGCCCCCTGCACTTGGGAATAGTATGCCGTCCTGCGCTATTCCTGGAGCGTTGTCAGGGAAGTTGGCCTGGTTCATGACAACACTGCCGGAAGCAATTTGGGGTGGGAGTGGGGTCTCCCTGCTGCCCCCAGTGTGGGGTGTGCTGGGCCAGCAGGAGTGTGCAGGACCCAGAGTGACGGCGTTGGCCTTTCTCATGGGCTGTGGAACTGTATCAAGATCTCTGAGGGGCAAAGGTTGGACTCGCTGACATCTGCACCACCTTTAAAATATATCTATTTTGGTAAAAAATGTATATAACAAAACATTTGCCCTTGGAACCATTTTTAAGTAGTATTAATTACATCCACCACAGGGTACTGCCTTCACCGCCGTCCACACAACCCGGCACCCTGGGAGCAATAAGTCGCCATCTCTCGCTCTGGCTCTGGCTCTGGCTCTGGCTCTCTCCACAGCCCC